ATAGACGAGTGCCCATGATGAGCATTCCTTCTTATGTCAAGTGGGAAGAAATTGACTCAGTTTTGAACAAAAATGAAACCCTTCCCAAAAATTTCAGTCTTTTTTGACAGGTTCCAGTCAGTTATGCTTGTATATCTCAAGAGTAATTCCACTGTAGTTAGTGGAATCCATATCTTTAGTGATGGGAAACCCCACTTTCCTTTTCTTTTTTTTTTTTGCCCCTTGCTAAGCTAGGACAACCAGGTATATCAGTTTCCAACATATCTTCTTTCGCTTCCAGCTCAACAGGAAACTTCATCCTTTTTGTCACGCCCATGATAGAATATTATAACTCATTTCACGTGCAGCTGAATGTGAAGATACATGGGCTCCAACTGGTATGGATTTTGGCTACCTGCCTTCTCCATTGCTTAAGTTGCTGTGAACACAAGACCCAGCTGGCTCCCAGTTAGATCTAATGCCAGTTTAGAAATTTGGTCCTAAGTTTCAAAGCAATAAATCACACCCCAGCTACATCAAACACTGAATTTTGTTCTATGAACTACCATTACAACTGTGCTTCTCTGGGACAACGCAGATCAGAGAATTCAAGTAAAAAGCTAGGAACAGAAATTACACATAAAGCAATATTAGCGATCAGAAACCGGTTCAAATCTGTAACAGAACAGAAGTTCAGTGCATGTAAACGGCTTTCAAAATGGCCAAAACCAGTTTAAGATAAACCAGGATGGATGTAGTATTAGACCCATGGCGACGCGTAGGGGGTGCACATGCACCCCGACAGCACTGGTGCACCCCCTGACAGGCAGCGCTCCACACCTAGGTGATGGGCAGGGGTGGGAAGGTGGGAGCGCCGGTGTCCCCCGCCCCGTGATCACCAGTTGGGAAGTGGGGGCACCAGGTCAAGCACCGCTGGCACTTCCAGGAGTGCCACTGGCACTTTTGGGAGCACTGCTTGAGCATCCCGGTTGGTGAGATTGGCTGTGCAGGGACTGCCCCCCTGTTGCTGATTGGCTGCTGGGGGGGGCATGCGACTCAGGTGGCACCCGTCGCCCGTGTATCAGACTGAACTGATTTAGATTTAATTGGTTTATTGAACTTCTGTCCCAGATCCCTTCCAGATTCAAGTTAACTCACAGCCCCCAACATCCCAGGATGCTTTGCACCTCCCCTGCAAACTCCTCCTTGCAGGGTCAGTGGGCTAGCCTTGGCCCAAACTGTCTGCTTGAGGAGAGCATGGAGGCATGTTCTAGCAACTCCCTGGCTTCTGGCCTGGGTCACTGTAGGCATGCGGCTGCATTTCCAGAATCAGAAGTCTGTTTACTTGCTTAATGGTTCAATTTACGCAGCTTAGACTAACTTGCAAGATTGAATCAATTTAACCTTGGGCTTTTGACTATCTGTACTTAGCCAAAGCGTGTGGGAGGTTGGGAGAAGGGAATCCAGTTACAGAATAATTTTCCAGAGGTGAAGTCAGCACTAAATGTCCTTAGGACATACCTTTCTTCTTTAGAGAGCCTTTCCGGCATAAACAATGCTCATAAAAGAATGTTTCTTAATAGTCCCCAATGCCTAAAAACATTTCTTTCTCAAAAAAGCCCCTAACCAAGCCTAAGCAGAAAGTTGACTGCAAAACTGAAGATATGCTAGATACTCTGTTAAATCCACGAGGGACTGGGGTTGTAGACTTTCCATGGTGAATGCTCAGATACCATATGGGGGAGGATGGTAGAAAAACTTTGGATAGATTTTATGATCAGTATAGCTGCTCTTGATTCACAATAGTACAACTGAGATCAGAATTGTGCCTAAAACAGTCTGTGAGTGATTTCATATTCTTGAGCCAGATCCTCTGATGAGGCACACTGGCATAGTTCCATTAAAGTCACCAAACTATTTCCACTACTTGGGATCTGACCCCTTGCTATCAAGTGATGTTGCAAAAACATGGGAGAGCCTCAAGACTCCTCTAATTTCCTGGAATTCATTTAATGTGGTGATTGCAAATGCTTGGTATTGGCCTTTATGCTGGAAAGTTTCTCTTAGGTCTCCTTTCTTGAAATACAAAGTAATCTTTTTCAATATCCTGGACATCTAAATAAAAACTATATATTTTGCTAAATGCTTCCTTATGTTATTTAACCAGTCTGATCCAGTTCCTGCAAATTTAGCATACTTGACACTCCTGCATAACAATAATGATATGATCCTGATCAGTATAACTTCCTAACTGTGTATGCAGATACAGAAATGTAAGAATTTCATCAGAATATATGTTCTTGATGTCTCACTGTTCTCCTTTCATTACAAAATAAAGTAGGCTATAAATCTGATATAATGTACTCAATTATGGAAAAGAGGTTTCTGAATAATTCCATTTTTAAAGTGCATGAAACTTGTCAGTACCCATTCTCAGTATCACAGCCTAGAAGCCTGACTTGTAAATCCAGAAGATAGTGAAAATATTGTTTTATACTTAGCTGAAAGTATATATATATGTGTATATTTGCTAAGAATTTATAAAACTAGCAATGCATTTCTTTTTCAGATTAAATGTCCATAACCTGTAGACTACTTCAAACAGGTGCTAATTAGGTTTACAGAAAGGCCATTGTAGATATATACATTCCCAGGAACAGACTAAATGAATAAATGTTAATTGCTTTTATGATGCAACAAAAATTGTCTATGGTGGTGTTAAGTTAGCTGAAAATATTATAATTACAAAGTATTAGAAACTTTACTAAAGATAATCTGAAATGATAAAGTGCAAACTGTAATTGTGCAAGGTAGTATGAAAGTATTCTGCACAGAAATGAAAAATTAACAGTTGTTTCTGGCTATTTAACTAACTACTTTCAGCACTGCATGAAAACACCAGTAGATTTTAGTTCATTGTGATCCCATACATAAATTAATGTAATGCTGCTTTAGAATAGAAATATGTCTAATGTCAATAAGGCCCAGATACTGTATATTGTTCAGGATTTGATACTGATCTTGGTTATATGGGTGCAGCACAAAATTCAGCTCCTCTTCTGTATCCAGTGTTCTCTACTGAGAACTGTAGTAGTAGTGGGACACTACTGTTCTCCAAAAATTATCAGAGCAATGCCAAGATAGATTTGAATACCTGCCCCATGATATGAAAAAAGGAGACATTCTTTCACACTGATTATTTCTATACTCCTTCCTGTACCAATAAATTTGGCTTTCATGTGTGAAAAATTTGTCTTTCACATGCATGCATTAGGTCATGCTGTACAGGGGTCCATTAAAAAAAAGAGTACTTCAGCTTTAGAGGGAGATTAGACATTTGAGCAGGATTCTCCAAGAAACTTCTCTGAAATCTATTTTGTCTAAAGCCAAAATGAATTTTAAGAGAGCCCACTTTTATCATAGGAATAATTTTTAATTTTTTAGTGTTTTACTAGTTAACCCAGTTCATATTAAAAAATTTAGAAACTTACAGAACATATATCAGAGGATGTATTATTGGAAATAAACTTGAATTTTGGGGGAGATGTCACTGTTGATGTTTTTGGACTGAGGCACATCACAGCTCTAAAGTCAACTGTTGAGCAATCTTTTACTTTCCCTTAATAATGGAAGTAAAGGATTGCTCAACAGTTGACTTTAGCCTTAGAAGTTGACTTCTTTGGGGGATGACAGCTATTGGTCAGGGATGATCTGGGTGTAGAGATACCTATGTTTTTATTATGGGTATTACCCATGCTTCTGGCCATGTTGCTTGTCCTCTCCCCCAGTTTCTGCGACATGTGTCAGGGTGTTTTTAAGCCTTCCTCAGAGACATCGGGTATTGGCTACAGCCAAGAATGGGGACCTTGACTGGGGTGTGCCAATATTCCTGTTAGGTCCAAAGATGGAGGTTCCTGGCTAGAAGATCTTGCTTTTCTGCTCAGGGTCGGGTCAACTGCTGTATTTTGGGTCAGGAAGGAATTTTACCCCATGGTCAGATTGGTATGGACTGTGGAGGGTTTTGCATTCCTCTGTAGTAGATCTGACCGTGTGGCCTTCTACATGGCATCTATAGAGCATATATTGACAATATTTCATAGAAGCAGGACACTGGTGGCTGTGGTTCTCCTGATTTACCTGTGGCAGGTTAGGTTGTTTTGTAGTTTCAGGGTTCATGATAGTCTTATGTAGTGTTTAGATTATGGTTTCTACGGGATGGTTTGCATAGGGATGATCCTTCTTCAGGTATGGGGTTGGACTAGGTGACCTCTGGAGGTCCTTTCCACCTCTACTTCTTTATGATTCTATGAAATGATCAGAAATGAACCCAATGTTTCTCTAAACAATGAGTAAATAATTCAAAATGACCTGATAATTATCTTGCATTCGAAAGCTTCTCTAACTTCAACCCAACCTGCAGTTGATCCTTTAAAAGATACTGTCCCCCCTCCTTCCCCCCCTCCCCCCCAAAAAAATCTTGGTCTCTTGAAGTAGCATATCACTTTAGCAACAGAGTTCAGAAATAAAGATAAGAGTTGATTATTTTGGGTCAGATTCTGGAAGGCAGCTAATTTACACCGAGTGCAAGTCATAAAGGGCATGTATAAAGTTGCTTGAACATGCACCTTCTCAGTGTCCAGAACCAGGTCTTTGTAAGGCTTCCTTACACTGAATTAGAGCAGCTTAAGGCTAATTTTCAGTAGCCTAAAGCCCTAACTTTAGGCTCTGTCAGTTAAAACACAGTGGAGGATCAGTATTGCAAGAAGGCATCATGACTGTACCCTTTCCTTGTTCCCTGACCTAGTTCACTTTTCTCCATGAGGCACAGGAAGGGAATGATAATGTATAAAGTCCTCTGTTGGCTCTGTACACATTCTTATGCAGGGGTGACTCCTCCTGGCCCAAGACAAACTGGCAGTGTATTGAAGAGTGGCTATACTTCACAGGACCATTTTATCCTATAAAGGTAATTAGTATATGCCACTAATTAAAAAAAAATCTGTACTCATTTTACCCACAAATGCCTGATTTCAATATACCAATCTTTACTTCCACAATAACTGGGATAGCAAAATACTAAAAACAGATCATTTAAGAAACAATGAACGTTCAAAATGCCACAACAAAAATTGCCATTGCCAGGAAAAATTATGGAATTTGTTTATATTGGTTGTCATTTTAGATTACGCTTACAAAGAAAATATAAAATATTCTTTCTGAAGTTAAAATATTTTAATCATTGTGTTCAAGGTGCCTTCAGCTTTTAAAATAAGCTGTTGTTTGTGTCTTATTTCTATTTGATATAGTCAGTTGTTTTTGAATTTAAAAATGTGAATTTGAGGTATGAGGAAGAATATTCCTTTATAATGCATAAACTCAATTCATCCATGAAGAAAACTGTTTCTAAAGTGTTAGATAAAATATATGGCATAACATTGCATATTAGTGCTTTTGGGCTTTCTAAAGTTGCAACATACTTCTAATGTACATGCTGAATGTTTCATGCTCTCTTACAGCATTAAATACAGTAGAGTAGTTATATTAGTGGAAAGTATTAATAGATGTTGAGTTCTCTGTAGACTCTTTCTCTTCCCCTCTTTCTCCCCTGTAACAACCTGTGTCTATTAAAATATTGATTAAATCCAATGAAGTGAGCTGATGAATTTCTCAACCTAGAGTATGAGTAGCCTTATTTTAGTTCTGTTATCTTTCATGATGCTAACAAACTGTCCCCTTGTTTAATATATGTGGAATTTGTCAATCAAATAAAAGATTAAAACATTTAATTTTTCATATGTTTTTGTTTAGCAGAAGTATAGATGACTCCAGGTTTCACAGCCTAAACCAACACATAGGTAATATAAAGTAGGAAGAAAAACACCAGGAATTCCGTAACTTCCTGCACTTGCCTCTGAAGAAGTTGGTATTGGCTACCAGTGCTAAAGGGTACTGGATTAGATAAATTACTGATCTGATCTGTTATCACAAAGCCTATTAAAAAGTCATTTTCAAAAAGCACACTTACCAGTAGATTATGGATATTCAAGCTTTTCAACTGTAAATGAGAAACAGTGACATTCAAAAAACCTGAAACAGAACAGCTGGAATTTGGGAGAATCAATGCCCATCTTGAATTCCTAGATTGCTATCTAGTATAGAGATTAGAGCTACTGAAGTGCTGATATACTCATCTTAACACTGATTTATGTTTCCACATGTGAGAGCATTGACTTAGAAGCCAGATACTCAGCTGTAAATCTGTGAACAACTTCAGTGGAGCTAAGATGATTTACATGAGCTGATGATTTGGATTTTGGAGTCTAAATCAGTTTTGGGCATCTATTGGACATGTTTCCCTCTCTTATTACAGACATCTCATTTAGCCCTGTGCATCTGTAAAGAATTACCAAGGGTTAAAAGGAATCACTTGCTGGCTAAAAATATACTTTTCCAAGGGAGATCAAGGAAGTCAAAATGAATAACCATGGCATTTTTATTACATATTTGAATAGACTGATGTCATTCACTTAGTTGCACCGGTGAACTCTGGAACATTGAAAGACTGCAAATTTCATTAAGTTAGCAAGATTGTTTTTTGTTAACATGATGTGAACTTAATGATTTTAGTAGCATTAACACATGAAGAAGTCAGAATTTTACTAATTGCTCCATGTTAGTGCTCTAGGAACATCTCATTTATTTTTGTCTTATTCCAACATTAAAATTTGTAGTTCTGCTCTGCAAGACCTGCCCATTTTCAGCTTGTATCAAAAGCCCCTGTGACTACATCTGTATGCTTTTGATTATAAATTTATGTGCTTACATGATTTCTAAGACCAAAAAACCCTGCTTGGCCAGTATAAGGACAATTAGTCACTTTCACTAATTCCACATGAAAACACATAAGTACAATAAGACACTATATTAGCCACTCATTCTTGTCACTGTATATCATGACACCATAGCTATGCTGGCACTTGACACTATCCTTGAGTTAGGCTGTCTTTTATAATCAAGGTCAACAACAAAATACTAGAAGTGGGTTGATATGATTTGAGGTCCTTCTCTTGAATTGTGAATCTGTGGCTTGTGTCAATCTAAGCATTTATAAAGATGTTTTACAAAAAAAACCAAAGGCAAATGTTTTTACATTAAATCTTATAAAACTGTACAAAATAGTCTACAGCATGAAAATGTCCATTGAACTATGAATTGGTTATGAACTTTAGTAAACAGAACAATCCTAATGTTTCAAATATTTATCATATTAAATCACTGTATTCATACAGTCCTGCATGTATAGTATTTTCAATGGCACCATAAACATAGTTGTCAGAAAATACGTTAACTCTCACCCACTAGAAGCTATGTATCATAGTGCCTTTCTGTCAAGAGTTTAAAAAATTCATCGTATATCGTTGATTGAATAAAAAAAAAAACCTTACCACAATAAAATCTAGAATTGACACTATCCAGGACAGCAAATCAAAGTGGGACATAAAATATTTTCTAGCTTGCAGATCATTTTACATTTACTATTACTGTGATAGTGTAACTGAAAACAGTAAATGTTATTAAATAATACCTGGTTTATGAAGCATACTGGATTTCAGAGATCCATAGTAACCACTTTACAGGTATGAGGAATCCGAACAGCTCCTCTCTCTGACACAATTCAATTCCTCTTTACACCAATCAGGAAAAATAAGTTTGATCAAAATTAACCTTTTTCTTTATAGAAGTGCACTCAGCTGGATAAAACCTTATGATGTGTACTTATGTTTCCTTTTGTTGGACATTCATTCAGTAAGCCTTGAACATATGCTTGAGCATATGGTAAAGTAGTTTGGTAGGGCAGGGAAGCTCATTATCCATACCCCTCAATAAACCTAAGTGTTTAAAAAAATTAAATGGTTAAGGCAACTATACTGATATAGAGACACACCATATGTTTTGTATATTGCTTCCTACAATCTAAACAGTTAGAGTGAAAACAAGAGGTTCAAACATGCTCTGATCTTCTTGACCGCTTATCAAACTGGTAGATAGGAATTTTATCAAACTGGCAGACAGTACTTCACTTGACCATGGGTTACAACTGTAGACATAAGTTATGAGCCACATACTAGAGAAATAATGTATATATTGGCTTACAGACTGATCATCTGTTTGAATTTATCAGAAGCTAACAAACAGAAACAGCCAGTCAGATTATTCAGTGAATAAAATGGGAGAAATGCCAACTCACAAATTCACAATTTTAGTGTTCTTAATTATTTCAATCCAATAATTTAAACTATTCAGATCCCCTATCATCATTTGTTTTGTGTTTTGAGTGGATAATATTAAGGACCATCTTCAGACACGTTGGAAGTGCTGATACTTGCTATCAGCCAATCCCAGCCTATTTTTTTTAGGATTTATTCTAGCATACCATATAATACTAGAGAGCCTTTTAACTTTGTTTTCTGTTGGGTAAGGCTGTAGGTATAAATGACAGTGAACAAAAATGTTTGCACAGTTGCTGCCATATAATGCTGCTACGAAAGATAATGCTGCAAAATTGCTAGTGCTGCTATAATGGAAAGGGAGGGACTTGTGGCTTGATTGCCCATGTTCCCAGCATTGTGTTTAGAAGATGACTTTACAGTGGTTGTGGTGGTTGTGGTGTCAATCTTTTTCACAGTTGGTTTTGGTTCACTCCTATCGTCTGGATAGGTCTTCTTTTCTTTGAGTATATCTAAGAAAAACAAGAAAAGAAAATATGCTATGATCATACTGTGTCATCTGCACACAGCTCTATTTTGTTTCAGTTAATGTACTCAGGTGTGGTTTGGGGTTCATATCTTACTAAAGGCTATTTATTGCTTGGCCTCTGCTTGTAGACATGGATCCTCTTGGATTACTGTGTATTAGATGATGTGGAGGTCTTAGGTGCCTATTAGCATGCGCATGTTTATGTGTCTACACTTGTCAGTCATGCTCAGGTAGAGGATGAAATATCTTACGTTTAGTAGTTACTGCTGTGTAATGTATCTCAATACTCTTACCCTTTTCAAGGACTGTGGCTTAAAGCCACAATTTATTTAACCATTAACATTTAGTCTGGCCTCATCTTTGTTTTTACCATATGAAGTATGGTATTTTATATAAAGCAACTGACACCTCTCTGCTCAAAACCCCAGAGGATTCACCTTGAAGGAGCGTATCTTTAAGTTCTGCTAGGAATTACAGGGGTTCCCTGGGGTGAGGGCTGCTTAAGGACTACACTGAATAAATGCATCTTTAAAAATACCTTGGATGGTATATTAGCAAGCTGCAAGTCCCAATGGGGATGGGAAAAATGTGACTAAGGTTGTGCAAGGACTTCCTATATTGAGGCTGTGGCCAAACTAAAAAAAATAACAAAACTATCCCTGATAGTTCAATGGTTCAGCTGTTCATCTGGCTTTCAACTAAAGCCTACTCCCTTTTAAGACAGTATCCTAAATTACAGTATTTTCTGGGGTAGGTCTTTCTCAATTTCCCCTATGGTTGAAGCTCTCTAAAATCAGAATTATCTGATGCCCAAGTGGTTATGGAGACTGGTTCTAGTTCCTGCTTTAATGAATATTTAAGTAGCTTATACATAGTGGAACAGCTTTACCAGGTATGACAGAGACACCCAGGCTGAAACATCCCATTGTTTAACTAGTAGAGCACTCTTTGAGTGATGAGGGACCTTGGTTCAAAACCTGTTTACAATTGGGCTGGGAAAGGTGTTGAACCTGGGTCTCCATATCCCAAGTGACTGGCCTAACAACCTGGCTATCAGGTCTTAGGACAGAGGAATCATTTCCTCCTCCTCACTGATTTTGGGAATGGTGCCTAAGTCAGTCTCTTTATAAATTCATACATTTTCCAAAATGTTTTTCCCCATTTTTATTTGTCCAGAACTATTCACCATACTCAACCTGTATTCGTGGGTTACTTGAACTAAAAATATGCAAGATACCAACTGAAAGCTGAGCTATAATCGATGACTATCAATACCATGCAGTTGGTTCAACAAAAGAAACCACCCACAAAAATCCTTGTTTTTCCCGTATCTCCTGGACCATCATGGCTACAATAGCACACCAAAACTACATTGAATTAAAAATACATTTTTGAAGGATAAAATACTTGCTTAAAAAATAAAACCCTGGCCTATCCTTATTTATGGCTTTTTTGAATGTCTGCTCCTATCTGACTTTTCAATCTTGCACTTGCATTTTCATACTGGAAGCTGGTGGAGTACAAGCCTAATTATGACCTGCTGTGCCTAGAGGTAAGTGCAAATTAAGCTGAAACAAGATCACTTCTTTTCTGGCATGGAACTTTAAAAAAATTCTTCTGTTAGTAGATTTCCACAAAAAAAAAAGACTTTAAAAAAGGTGAGATGACTAGTGATAGATGTATTCATTTATCCTGACTTTCCAAAACACTTTTCCCAGTGCTTGGGAAATCTGAGTCATCATTAGCATTGTTGGAAAAAATTTCTCTCCTTCATCCAATATTGGGACAACACTTTTGTAGTTTGTTGGTAAAAGTGTGTTGCACAAAAGCTCCTACTTGAAGCAATTTACAAATTAGTAGCCACTGTTCATGTCTAGTTTAAATTTATTTTTGTGAATAAATGCAATGCATATCTGCATAAGACCAAATGCCTAGATCTGTAATACAAGTTAAGCAACAGTCCTGGCTTAAGATCAAATCTCTAAAGGTGTATGCAAATGTTTGCCACACCTGGTCTATGATCAAGTGGCTTACTTTAAGCCAAGTGTTCATAGATTGGGGGGGAAGTATGCATAAGCATTTGCTGGTGCCAGGAGCTATGCCAGGAACCTGGTGTAAGAAACTTAGACTGTGGGGAGAGGTGGGTGGGATTGAGCTAGTGTGTCCACAAGTGGGTTTGGTGTGTCCACAGGGGTGGGGAGAGGAGCTAAAAATAGCCTGGCCAGGGTGAGGCAGGGTAGGAAGAGAGCAGCCCCAGGGTTGAGGCAAGCACTTGGGCTTTTCCAGCCCCAGGGCTGCACTCTGAACATGTAGGCTGCCTATACATGTGCTCAGAGGTGGGACATTTTAATTAGAATGGTTCCCAGAGAGTAAAACGTCATAGCATAATGTGTATTAAGCTCCAGCACATTTAAAAATGGCTATGGGATGCTTTATTTAAACTTCATTCAATGAGGTGTGGAGGATTAATACATGTGTTGCTGCAGTGATGCTGGAACATTTTAATTAGACACCAACTAGCATTTCTATAGGCAGCTGTTTGCTGGATCAGGTTAACCAAGTTAGATTGGGCCCCCCCATTTTTGGTCTGATGTAACCCCCCCCCCTCCACACACACACACACACACACACACACACACACACACACACACACACACA